CTGCCTTGGCAGTTTCCACAAAAGTTCTAGTGAATATAAAGATAAAGTTACTGAGATATTCGTAAAAGTGCAGTTTGATTTGATTTTAAGCTCTCTTTGAACCTTTGTCAGAGATGAGTGATCTAGCAATTGCTAGATCACTTCATTTATCCAATTTAAAAAGATGACTTTTTGTGAGGTTAAAACTATTTACAAAGCTAATCAATAATATCTGATTATGATATTGGTGAACTTTTAATTAAAAAATGCCTCTGATGATATTTAAATGGAAAATTCCAAATAAATAAATGCATATGTCCACATAAGTCAAGAACACAGACTGAATTTCAGGTGCTCAGCAGCCTGTTTAAAAAGGGAGGTGGTAATAAAGTTTGGCATAACCAGCCGGATTACAGCGTTCATCAAACTAATAGTATAAATTACCAAAAGACAAAGAAAGAAAAACTGTGAAAAAATTTCTCCTTTTGGAAGCAAAATTAGTTGGAGAACCGTACACACAGTTTACTAATATTTATTTTTTGTTGTTAGTGGAGGCACTCGTGAGAAATAATTATTTGAGTGATTTGAACTTGACTCCTAGGTCAAATCCAAGTAAAGACAGGAAATCTATGTGGAATTACCTTTCCATTGCCTTCTCTGCAACCTTTAGCTGCTCTGGAAAGGCTTGAATTTAAGTGTCTGACCTTATAAGATAAACATAAATCTTATCACGTAGCTAATGAAAAGTGTCTGTGAAAAGCCCTATAAAGGCTTATTTTTAAATAAATTGTTGGAATAAGAATATGACTAAGAAAGGCACAGAACAAGGACCACTGAGGAAGATAGTTTGACAGTTGACAGAAGGTAGGACAATATAAGTCTCTATTCTACCATCCTTTATCACTGAAGAAAAGAATATTCAAACATGAAAAGAGAACTGAAGCTTGTCATCGATGAGAAGCTGGCAAGAAAGCCTAAGCCTACTCAAGTTCAATGTTTTTGACTATTGAATATCAGCATAAGTCTGATTTCCAAAAATAAGCTCCTTGGAATGCTAATTTTGCATGACATTGTAAAGGTTCTGAGGCAAATTGTCTCAAAAATTCTGGGCTAAACAATTCTCTTCATGGTGGTCCTTCTGAGATCCTGAATATATATATAAGAAAGCTAGAGTTATGTCTAATGTTTCACAACTAATTTTACCACCTGGATCATTTCATAGGGCTAATGTGTTGGTAAAGAAGTTAAAAAATACATACATAATTATAGAACTACCACTGATAATACCTGAAGAACTCTGAAGATAGATGCCCGAGGACTTAAGAGACCCAAGATGGTTTCTATATTTCAAAAAGTCTAAAAAGGATGAATTATTGGATCTGTAGACATATAAACATGGCAAATCAATATGGAGCAAAACCTTGGGGTGTCAATATTCAGCAACATTTTAGAATTGATTATTAAATTGATTGTTTTAGTAAGATATTAAAAAATAGTAACCATTATGAGTCAATAGAATTTTCTGAGTCATTTGAAACTGACATTATTTTTTTTAGATTAAGGTTACCAGAATGGGAAATTAAGGGAAATTGGATTTCATTAAAGTTCTTGAAAAAATGTCTTAAGATTTTCTTATGGAAAGAATAAAGACACACCAATTATTAGCCAATGTACAATGGTAGAAAGATTTGTTCCTCATGAGATGGATAATAGATAGAGGTAATTTTCATTGAACAGAATAACAGGTGTTAGGGCAATTGTCGGCTTTGGAATTTTGTAAAATCCAAAACACAGCCTTGCAAGATAGTTGTTTTTAGAGCAGCGCTGGTTTTCATCTTGGGTCTGACCAAGGAAGACACAGTGAGAGGATTAGTAGTGAGCCAGGGTGGGTAACACCCATACAGAGGAAGCTGTTCCTCCAGAGGAGAGAATGCTCTGCTCAAGGACGGTAATGACACTATGCCTTCCCTGTAGCTCATCTCAGAACTATCCTGAATGAGAGACTGGTAAAGAAGAAGAGAGTGGAGAAGTTAGTGTAAATGGCGGAAGATACATAAAGATACATGTTCCTTTTTCTGTCTTAAAAATGTCCTGCCATTTAAAAATTAAATTGTAGTTCAGGTTAAGCAAAAAACCCAATTTCTGGTAAATATTTCTGATTTTTCCTGGAAATTAACATATAATTTTTTACATAGCAACAGAGTACCTTGAGCAAGGCACCGATGTCTCCCAAGAGAGGAAGTGCAATCTGTGGTTAAGGAGAGAAAACCGAATACATGTATTTATACATATATGTGGACACAATATAATACAAACATATAATACATAGTAGATATTTTTCCTCAAAATGCCATGCCAATTGAGATTTGGGGCAAGGAACTTCTAGAGTCTAACTGTTAGAATCATTGGCTTCACATTATGTTTCATATAAGAAACTGACATACAGCATGGACAGAATTCAGAACTACTTTTAAGAAATATTCACTATTCCTCTACCATGAACATGCAAATACACACACATCATAGTTTTGATTCTGCATCTCTGTTTTATATTTTCATGACACGTCAACCTTTACGACATCTCTAGTATGTTGTTGGTTTTAAATAATACGTAAAGATAGATCATTCATTAAAAGGAAATCACTCCTCTGGCAAGCACATTATCAGGCTGTTGAGAAATATGGAAAGTATTGGATGAGTTTGCCTTAAAGGTATTTCTCATGGAAGTTCAAAAGTTGGCTTAAATGACAGGCAAGACAGACACTTGAGGGAACTTGGGTCACATTTAGCCACATGCTGTAAACTGTCTTTTCAGGGAGACACTCTGAAAATCCAAATAACATTTTACAAGATTTCCAGAGAAGGCACCCATGATTTACTCAGTGGTGGAGTTAAAGTAAGGCCAAAATATGCCTCTGCACGTAGCTAACAAAGGCACATAAGGCCCAAACAGTGTGGGAGGTAGAAAGGATTTGTGAGGCTTAGAATTGAGAGGCCAGATTTGGATTTTATTATACAAAACTCTTAATACAATATCATGTACCATATGGCCTCTCAAATTATAACTGCAGAGTCTGAGGCTATTTAAAGGGATTTCACTGTCACTCAAATCAAGGTTTAACCTAAAATAAAATGTTGGAACACACGCTTAGTTGCCTAAACCCATTTTTTAAGAGCCTACTCAAGCCAGTTTTCAAAATTTAATCAACTCAGCATTTTAAAGCCACAGAATCAATGGATATGCACCAATTGTAGGTAAGTTACCTGCAAACTTTCATTTAGAGAAATGAAATTCATTTAGTCACTAGCATCAGAAAGAATAAAAATTGTGGCTATATATTTTATCTCAATTTTCCATGGGATTGAGACATTATATGCCAAGGCTCAGCCCGGGGCAAAATTGTACAGCTGAATTATACCCTCAGGAGATCAGTATTCATCACATACAAAAATTGCTGACCCAGCTTGAATTTTTTTTCTCTACAAAATAATGGGGATAAACAAAATCACCAAGCAGTCACTGAGCATTCTAATTAGTCTGAACAGCAAAACGTGCTTGGGAGGCTGTTTGGCTTCTGGGTGCATTACAGATTCATAAATCAGGCAAAGTCTGTCTACATACCGGGTCACCTGGGGGGCCTGGCAGGCCTGGCTTTCCATCTCTCCCTGGAGCTCCCTGAAAACAGAGGCATCATGTTCAAGTCTTTGCCTGTTGGTACAGGTGTAGATTAAAATTGGAGGGCAGTGGTGGTGGTAGGACAGGAGTAGGAAGGTGTTCCTTACATTAATCCCTGGGGACCCTGGAGTTCCTGGCAACCCAGGAAGACCTCGAGGACCCTGGAAAAGAGGGAAACTAAAAATAGTTACTTACAAGGACAGTTTTTCAGTAATTTCCTCCAAATAAGCAAGCTGGATTTACTGTGCTAAATAACTTAAGTAGCTTACCTGAATACCTGGCTCTCCAGCTGGTCCTTGGGAGCCCTGAGTAAAATGAGATTCAGTGATCAGAATTCTACTAAATCAGACTAAATATTGTAATTTACTTAGTGGAACAGCAGGGTTTGCCATGGCACATGCTCTGAAAACTGCAAAGTCAGCTAAGACTTTCAGGTCGTCAGTACATACTTAACCAGATAACCTATTGCTAGAAACATCAACATGGCTTTGCTCAGATAGCTGGGACATCTCTCCTGTTACCATCATCTATCTGTTGCTGCATTTTTACGAAGGTACAAACAATGCATCCAATACCTATTGCTAGAAACATCAACATGGCTTTGCTCAGATAGCTGGGACATCTCCTGTTACCATCATCTATCTGTTGCTGCATTTTTACGAAGGTACAAACAATGCATCCAAGTTTTAGCTGTTCAGACACTACCCGCAGGGGTAACTGGCTTGGGGCTTCCTTTCCTTTTTGCTTTCTACTTTGAGTAGTTTCTCTCTTTGAAGAAATCATCAGAACCAATGTTCAGTGACAAGAGTAGGAAGGAAACATCAATCAGTTATTGTTTCCTAGTTTTAGAAAATTAGAATTTTGGGTAAGTAAAGTGAAGCTGGAAGATTATCAGATAACTTAACGATGTTAAGTTCTGTCCCTATTATGTAACCATGGGTCACAGAGGAATTTACAACCTAACTAAAGAGCTGGTTTCTTAGCAGTTGACTTCAGTAACTGCTCACTGACTTTCTTTCTTATTTTTTAAAATAAGTATTCATATTACTGTCATTTCCAAAGCCACTTTTTGCTCTCTCTATATATATTCTGTGTGCCTAAGTGATTTTTTTCTTTAACTTCCAACAGCTCCCTAATTATTTCCTGATATAATTTTGCAGTTTGTTTGATCTCCTATCTCCCCTTTTTTATATTCTTGCCCTGGGAAGTCAAACAGCAGTCACACACAATATAACCATGCAGTATTTATGCTTTCTTTTAACTTTCATGATAACCTCAATACAAGGCTGTGATATTGTGATATAATAAGAAATATGTATTTGGTCTCTGCCCCTGGTTCTTGGCACAGAGCTCCTCAAACCCTTCTAAATTCCTTAACAATAGGGTGCTAGGAAAAACTTTTGTACTAATATTTGGTGTTTGAGCCCATTCCTGATATAAAACTCCTGTTCCCTTGGAATTTCCTGGAATCTTTTGTTCTAATGAGGTGACTCTTGGTGGGCTCCTGGATGAGGGTTGGTCTCCAGAAAGACCAAGCCATAATAGGAAACCTGGAACTTTAAACCCCCCACCCTTCATCCTTCTTGAAGGGGAGAGAAGCTGAAGATTGAGTTAATAATCAATCCTGTGTACATTATGAGGTCTTCATAAAAATCCCGAAAGTACAGGGTTCAGAGATATTTCAGGTTGCTGAACACATGTGTCCCAGGAGAGTAGTGCCCCCCAACTCTACAGGGACAGACCATCCTGTACTCTGGACCCTTCCGGACCTTGTCTTATGTATCTCTTCATCTGGCTATTCAACTGTATCCCTTATTATATCCTTTATCAATATAATAAATCAGTAAACATAAGAAAGTGTTTCCCTGAGTTCTGTGAGCCACTCTAGCAAATTAATAGAACCCAAGGAGAGGGTCATGGGAACCTCCAATTCACAGCTGGTCGGTGAGAAGTTTTGAAAACCCATATCTGTAACTGGCATCTGAAATAGGTCTCAGTCTTGTAGGACTGAGCCCTTAGCCAGTGGGCTCTGACTCTAACTCCAGGTAGATAGTGTTAGAATTGAATTGAATTATGGGATACCCCATTGGTGTGCGGGAACAACCCACACATCAGGTATCCGAAGTGAAGTACTGTGTGGACTGTTAGGAGTATAGTAGGAGAAAACAGTTTGTTTTTCCATTACACCAAAGGCCAATTCCCTAAATTAATGTCATTAGAAGAACTATTTATTTCCCCTTATTTTGTTCCCAAATCTTTTATGTTTTTTCATTTTAAATGAAAAGTTTCATCTCTTAATATTAGTCAACAAGCATGTATACAGTGGTCATTATTATCAGGCACTGCTCTAGGCTCTGTCCTTCTAGTAAAAATACATTAAAAAAAACCCTGTCCATTATTTGTTTCCACCATTCAAAACATCTATTCTCTATTCTTGAAGACATTTCTTATAGCTTTTTGGTATCACTTCATTTATACTATACATACTCTATCCACTGTAAATTTTAACTTAATTTATTTTACTTAATAACAAGGACCAATATATAGTAACCTAATATTAGGTAGTCTTATCTTACAAACATGCATTTGTGCTTTTTAGTATATAGTATAAAAGTATAAAGGGTTAGATAATTGCTTCTAATCCAAAGTCAGTGTATGTGTGACTAGCATCTGTAAGTCAATAAACTGAGTAATCTTTCTGTGCTTAGTGCTATACCTCTAAACTCATCAGTCTTCCCTGGATCAGGTTTATTTGTATTTCCTCCTCCAATCTTTCTATTATTATCTCCTTATTAAAATCTGTCACTGGATTTTGTTTCACAATATTGGAATCAACGTTTCAAGGGTCATACTGAATTCCACTTACTGTTTGGCCAGGAATTCCTACTCCCGGTGGGCCTATGTCACCTGGGGAACCATGGACACCAGGCAATCCTCTCTCACCCTATGAAATGAGATGCTTCTGTTAGTGCAAGGCTTAAGAGACAAATTTTTCTGCTACATCTTATTAATTATTAATTGTTTAAATGCTATGATGTTTTTGTACCTTTGGCCCTCGGGGACCGGGCACTCCAGGATTTCCATCTAATCCCTAAAAGAAAAAAAAAAAAGAGATGAATATGTTTCTTTTTCTAGAAAGGTAAAAAATGTCTTAGAAGCCATAACTCAAAAACATGTTTCATTGCTTTTAATCTTATTTGAATAAACCTTTTTCTGTAAAAGAATAATAGGAAACCCAAACTTTAATAGGTTACAGATTTCCCATAGTTACTTTAAAATATGAGGTTTTTATCTATAAAATGAGGCATCTGATGTATTATTATTAATTAAAGTAAAAAAGTTCAAAGGGGATGAGAAAAAAAGGCATATGAAACAGGAACATTGGTTATTTAGTTTTTCCAGTGATCCAATTTTCTATGTCCAAAGAACAGTTTGGGTCACAAAGACATTTCTTCGAAAATAGCCTATGGCAACATCTACAGAACCCCTGGAAGGGAAATTTCAGGCAGTTTTAAGATAGTGCTCTAGGAAGGTTTATGGTTGAAAACTAGTGTACCTTCCTGGGATCCATAGATCCCTAAGGAATCAATGCATAGGATTCAGGTGGCCTATGAATCTTCTGAAATCCTATACAAAATGTTGTACGCATCTGTATTTTCTTCAGAAGAGAGCTCCTTGATTGCACCACACTTTCAAAGAGTTTATATCTCTGATCTAAAGAGTAAGATGAATATATACATATATTTTTAGGCAGACCTAAACTTATTCCTATACTTGTGATCTGAAACTGGGAACCCATAAGTAGTAACTAATGAACTTTCAAGGGAAATACTAGCAATAGTGAAAGGGCTGGTACTTACTGGTTCCCCTGGAAGGCTTTTCCCTGGAGGACCAGCCTCACCTTTTGGACCTGGAAGTCCAGGAGGGCCTATAATCCCACCTGGATCTCCCTGAGGGAAACAAGATAAGATTCTTTGTTGCTCAGGTTTATGGTGGAAAGTCAGGAAGCAATAGCTTCCAATGTTTTAACTTTGCATCATACTCAGTCAGACTTCATTCTTTCATTCATTCATTCACTCACTCATTCCCTCATAATATTTACCGAATCCCTAAGTCATGCCAGGCACTGTTCTAGTTATATTAAAGGCATTTAGATTTTGTAGTGAGTTACATTACAATAAGTTTAGCAGTATCATGAAACATATGCATGTGTACAAATATATGCACAAAAAGGGCATATGTATGCATAAAGTTCTTTAGATATGTTTTTTCCTTAAGTTATTCCCCAATAATGATTCAACATTAATATACTATTTCCATATAGACATCAAGAAACAGGTCCTGAAGGATTAAGAGATTTCTTAGGTCTATACCAGAGTCTGTAGCTGGGCCTGAAACAAACTTTCTGAGTCCTGACATTTTCATCTCTAAGTCAGTTCATTTTGTCACATGACATGTCTATGACAGAACCAGGACTGCCATAATACACAACTCCAGGGGGCGCTGTTCACACCATAGTTTATGTGAATGTCTATTCCCTGCAAAATTTCAGAAATCTGTGCTGTTCTTGCACTTCTCCAATGACCTTATGATCCTGTCTCTTCCTCCTACCTAACTACTTAATATAAAAAATGAATAAAATGTAAACTATACCTTTTCTCCTTTAATGCCTTGTTTTCCTGGGATACCATGTTCTCCTGGCAATCCCTACAAATTTAGAATTAAAAGGAAAGAACAATTAGAATATCTATTGTTATAATAACATTTCTATATGTGAATCTTTGTCAAGATAACAGAATTTTAACATATAATCCATAAAAGGATGTGTTGACTTTGGCCTGTTAGATAGGAAAAAACATTAGTGAAAATATGTGGCTTGTTTCAAGTGAAGTCAACTGGATGTGAGGGGAAAGAAACTGAATAAAGGAGAATTAAACCAAAGGTCTCACCCATATTGTTGCCATGAAGGGGTGGAAGGATGGTGGTTGGTGGCATCACGTTATGATTTGGAGGGACAATAGGACAACTACAAAAATGTGTTCTTACCATGTCTGGGCCACAGTGGCTCCCTCCCTGTTGATTTTATTCTCTTTTTAGCCCCAGACACTATTACTTAATCTCACTTCTTGAGCATTTTATGATTCTATCTCTGCCACCAGTATTTTTTTTTTTTTCTTTTCATAAGATCCCTCCACTAGGTACACCTGTAGCAGTCCATTAATTGGCTTGGGAAGCAATAAAAAGTTTTGCTCTGTGAACTGGATGTTCAAAGTACCAAGAAGAATATGCATGCTGACCAACAGATCCTTGGAGGCTCAGGTAATGAGCTCAGAGAATAGAGTAAGAAGTCAGAGGCTGTTCCCAAGACGAAGGCAAAAGAACAGATTCGAATAGTTGCCTAATGGGAACTCTAATTGTGGCCAGATAGTGATCAGTCTCCAAGAAGTCATAGCTGAGGGTTTTTCTCAGTTTGCTCAAGTGTGGACTGATGGTGAACTCTCAGCTCCTACGTTGTCAGAAGGCAAGGTTGTCCAAGGGACAGAAAGTTGACCTGGGGGAATGGATGAAAAAGTGCATTTAGAGGGTGTGAGGGTGTGAGTGTGTGTGTGTGTGTGTGTGTGTGTGTGTGTGTGAGAGAGAGAGAGAGAGAGAGAGAGAGAGAGAGAGAGAGGAGGAAGAGAGGAGAGAGAGAAAAAGAGGGGGACAGAAAGAGAGAGAGAGAGAATTGTTAGTCGACAAAATCTGGGTTATAATGAAGCCTGTGGGTCTTCCTCCAACTGTATTACAGAAATACTTTCAGCTAAAAACTCACTTTTTTTTTGGAGGGCTCTTGCTAAAAAACAATAACAGAAGCTTTGGAAATGTCATTCTTAGATGGAGATTTAAATCAAAAGCTGTGCATATGGGAAATGCTTGATTTCTCTCTTGGATTTTCTTATTTCTTTTGATGTTTTCAATTTCCTCTACTGCTGGTATACCACTTACAAGCATGCCCAAAATGATAATTTAGTTAACTTGAGTTCCGAAGGCCAATTTATTAGGCTAATGATACTCAAAAGGACCTCACATGAATATAGAAAGGGACTAGTTTTCCCAATAGCACCTAACATTGGGTATGATCAGTTTTAGTGGTAAGGATGACCCATGACTTTGGAAAATGTAGTATAACTGAGCCATGAACAGATGCTGGCATTCATTAAAACATGTTTTAGTCTCAATGTCATTTCAAAATGTTGAAGACCCTATACATACAACATCTCCTGGTGGTCCTCTGGGCCCCATGGAGCCTGCAGGTCCTTGCTGACCCTAAAATAGAAGGTGATATTGTGCTTTAACTTGGCTATAAAAAAAGACAAATTGCACCTGAACATTTGTGAAACATGGTGTGACCTTTACTTGTAAAAAGATGGACTTTCCATCAATTCCACCTTCTCTGTATAATACTGAAATGTGCTTTGGGTTTACCAAGATAGTTTGCAAATATTTTCATTTAATGGGTCTATCTCACCAGCACGTGATAACTGGATAACTTGTCTTACACACTGACCAGGAGCACAGCACATTAATCTCTCCTGCACCTCCCAAAAGCTGCTCTTTCTTGGGACATACCTGTGGAATCCCNGTTGACTTTGGCCTGTTAGATAGGAAAAAACATTAGTGAAAATATGTGGCTTGTTTCAAGTCAACTGGATGTGAGGGGAAAGAAACTGAATAAAGGAGAATTAAACCAAAGGTCTCACCCATATTGTTGCCATGAAGGGGTGGAAGGATGGTGGTTGGTGGCATCACGTTATGATTTGGAGGGACAATAGGACAACTACAAAAATGTGTTCTTACCATGTCTGGGCCACAGTGGCTCCCTCCCTGTTGATTTTATTCTCTTTTTAGCCCCAGACACTATTACTTAATCTCACTTCTTGAGCATTTTATGATTCTATCTCTGCCACCAGTATTTTTTTTTTTTTCTTTTCATAAGATCCCTCCACTAGGTACACCTGTAGCAGTCCATTAATTGGCTTGGGAAGCAATAAAAAGTTTTGCTCTGTGAACTGGATGTTCAAAGTACCAAGAAGAATATGCATGCTGACCAACAGATCCTTGGAGGCTCAGGTAATGAGCTCAGAGAATAGAGTAAGAAGTCAGAGGCTGTTCCCAAGACGAAGGCAAAAGAACAGATTCGAATAGTTGCCTAATGGGAACTCTAATTGTGGCCAGATAGTGATCAGTCTCCAAGAAGTCATAGCTGAGGGTTTTTCTCAGTTTGCTCAAGTGTGGACTGATGGTGAACTCTCAGCTCCTACGTTGTCAGAAGGCAAGGTTGTCCAAGGGACAGAAAGTTGACCTGGGGGAATGGATGAAAAAGTGCATTTAGAGGGTGTGAGGGTGTGAGGGTGTGTGTGTGTGTGTGTGTGTGTGTGTGTGTGTGAGAGAGAGAGAGAGAGAGAGAGAGAGAGAGAGAGAGAGGAGGAAGAGAGGAGAGAGAGAAAAAGAGGGGGACAGAAAGAGAGAGAGAGAGAATTGTTAGTCGACAAAATCTGGGTTATAATGAAGCCTGTGGGTCTTCCTCCAACTGTATTACAGAAATACTTTCAGCTAAAAACTCACTTTTTTTTTGGAGGGCTCTTGCTAAAAAACAATAACAGAAGCTTTGGAAATGTCATTCTTAGATGGAGATTTAAATCAAAAGCTGTGCATATGGGAAATGCTTGATTTCTCTCTTGGATTTTCTTATTTCTTTTGATGTTTTCAATTTCCTCTACTGCTGGTATACCACTTACAAGCATGCCCAAAATGATAATTTAGTTAACTTGAGTTCCGAAGGCCAATTTATTAGGCTAATGATACTCAAAAGGACCTCACATGAATATAGAAAGGGACTAGTTTTCCCAATAGCACCTAACATTGGGTATGATCAGTTTTAGTGGTAAGGATGACCCATGACTTTGGAAAATGTAGTATAACTGAGCCATGAACAGATGCTGGCATTCATTAAAACATGTTTTAGTCTCAATGTCATTTCAAAATGTTGAAGACCCTATACATACAACATCTCCTGGTGGTCCTCTGGGCCCCATGGAGCCTGCAGGTCCTTGCTGACCCTAAAATAGAAGGTGATATTGTGCTTTAACTTGGCTATAAAAAAAGACAAATTGCACCTGAACATTTGTGAAACATGGTGTGACCTTTACTTGTAAAAAGATGGACTTTCCATCAATTCCACCTTCTCTGTATAATACTGAAATGTGCTTTGGGTTTACCAAGATAGTTTGCAAATATTTTCATTTAATGGGTCTATTCTCACCAGCACGTGATAACTGGATAACTTGTCTTACACACTGACCAGGAGCACAGATACTGAAATGTGCTTTGGGTTTACCAAGATAGTTTGCAAATATTTTCATTTAATGGGTCTATCTCACCAGCACGTGATAACTGGATAACTTGTCTTACACACTGACCAGGAGCACAGAACATTAATCTCTCCTGCACCTCCCAAAAGCTGCTCTTTCTTGGGACATACCTGTGGAATCCCACATGGGAAACTCAAGCATCTCAGGGTTGCATAATTTTGACTAAGAAATGAATCCTGAATCCTGTTCCCTTATTGAATTCAGCTCAGGTTCACAGATTTAGCTCACATCATTTACTCTTAAAGCTTTTAAGGATGCTATTGTGAATATGTTCTGAAAAAAAGAGTTTTAAAATCCTATTGTGAACCAAAAGGTACAATTCTATCTGTATAATAACTGTAGCCAAGGTGGGTGGGGAGAATCACCATGGAAACACGATAAAGTCTCTGAGAACATTCGTGAAGAAAACGAGAGGCATATCAAAGTGCCTTGTTCTATACACATTGGTTATAATTTCCAAGTTATTACATAATTTATCTTAGTTATTTCTTCTATACCTTTAGTCCTGGGCTTCCTATTAAACCAGGGGGACCAGGATTTCCAGGTTCACCCTAAACATATGTGGTTGAGAAGGAAAGATAAACATTACTTCAGTTTTCACAATCTCATTAAGGTTGGATGTGCAATTGGAGAATGCTAGGAGATTACCTTTATTCCCTGTGATCCTATTATTCCAGGTTCTCCCTATAAATAAAATAATCACCATATGGGTAATGCTTAAATTCAAACGGAGATGAGCATATCTGATACTTTAACTGAATTTCCACTAATTAACATGCAATAAAGGGTGAAATTATGGAAGACATAATGAAATCAAAAAAAGTCCATTTCAAAACATGATTCAAAATACTTATTGCTAATAACTAAGCAATAATTTCTTATTTTGTTTCTTCTTTAAAATAGTTTTTTTCCCTCCAAAGTCACTCTTGTTTTCAAAGTCACTTCTGATATTATGTTCCATTATCAATCACTGCATTCTCTACTTGGCTGACATAATTATGATTTGCCACCAACTAATGTCATATCACGGAGAATTAACACTTCACATAAGGGGGTTGGGGAGAGTAGTATTTAAGGTGATATGTATTTGCGATTCTACTCTATTGGCTATAATGAGTTTGCTTTTCTTATTTTCCACTATTTATTAATCTGTTTGATAAATCCAATTTGTGTCATTAACAGAATTTTTGAAAAAATGGTATCTTTTATTTGGATTTTGTATTTTAGATATCCTAAGTGATAATAACAATCACTAATAGCAATGGGTTAAAGAAATATATACAACCCAAACCAAATGTTAAAGTGTCCTCACATGATAACCCTTGACAAGGTCTAAAATTTCTCATTTATCAAAATGAAAGAGTCAAAAATCACAGAGGAAAAAGTAAAATGCTTAGGGAGCTTATTTTATCAAATCTATTGAACTCCAAAGTAAACATACAAGAAATCAGAGAGAAAGAAATCAATGAAGTAGAAAACCCAGGATAATGAGAAAACATGTACTTACTCTATCTCCCTTTTCACCTTTTGTAAAATGTTCCCCCTTGGAAAATGGGCAGAAAACAGAATTAATTATAAATACTTTTAGAAATTAACTCTCCAAACCCGGGTGTGGATAAATCCTGCAGGCTCAACTCGGACCTCCATTGCAAACAAGCCTCTAAAATGATCCAGAATGTCACACAGTCTGCCTTTGCAGCTTGAAGGGAGCATGTGAAAATTCATTTAAAAACTCCTAAATGAACAAGAGCTAATTATTCTAATACTATTTAGAGAATCCCGAGTGGTTGACAAATTATGCTGACCAAGGCTGAAGCTTCCTGTGGCCCGATTCACATAGGAGATGACCACACACACATCCAGCTGGAGGCGGAATGGGTATGAGGGCAACAAAGGGTTAAATGCAAAGACATTCATTTGAATTCTTTCAGCTGGTTAACTGCGTGCTTAAACATATGAAATCATTGTTTTTGAAATACTTTTTAAATTTTAAGGGTTAAATGCAAAGACATTCATTTGAATTCTTTCAGCTGGTTAACTGCGTGCTTAAACACATGAAATCATTGTTTTTGAAATACTTTTAAAATTTTCACTTTTAATTTAATAAAAATCACTTGAAGGGGTTAATTACTGGTGAATGACAGTACAAGTGTGTGGAACTGATAATGGTTCTCATTGGGTTTAGGTATGAAGGTCCTGAAAGAGATAGAAGCTTTGCTAAGGGATTCCTCTTATTAACCAACACTCTCCCTGCTGTCACATGTGGGATCCGAACCCTCGGGTGGGAGCGCTGCCGCACTTCCCAAGCGGCGCACTTATCCAGTGTGCCACTGGGCCGGCCCTAAAATTTTCACTTTTAATTTAATAAAAATCACTTGAAGGGGTTAATTACTGGTGAATAACAGTACAAGTGTGTGGAACTGATAATGGTTCTCATTGGGTTTAGGTATGAAGGTCCTGAAAGAGATAGAAGCTTTGCTAAGGGATTCCTCTTATTAACCAACACTCTCCCTGCTGTCACTGTGTTACTATCACCACAACTCAGGCTCACTGCACATACACGCATGCATGTACACACGCACGCACACACACACAAGCTTTCTCTTACTACCTTCTATTCTTGAAGTTACATGGACATGATCTCATTTAATCTTCACAGCAATGCTGTGCAAAAGATATTATTTGTCCCATTTCAGGGATGAGAAAAGGGACTCAAGAAGGTTTAGTAACTCTTAGTTGTCATAGCTCCCTCTATTTCCCTAAAATAGCATTCATCCCACTTTAGTTTCTTTGTATATCTTGGCTATAAACTCTGCGAGTGTAGGGATGTAAATCATCTTGACTACTACAGCACCTCTGGTGTCTCATATCAACCTTTACATTGTTGGTGCCCAATCAAAGTTTATTAAATTTAAAGTCATGCAAATATATAATAATTATTGAATTCTTGCAATGTATCAAGTACTGTTCTAATCACTTTATATTTATTAATGTAGTTAATTCTCATTTGTTAATGGGGTAGGTACTATTAGTATATCCATTTATAGATGCAGAAACTGAGGCACAGAGAAATTAAATAATTTTCCAAAGTTCTCATAGCCAGTAAGAGCTGGTTCAGGATTTAAACCCAGGCAGCTTGATCTTAATCCCAGGCTTTGCTGTTCAGAGAGACTGATTTGATTTATAATTTGATTTACTTATTATTTGAACTGAATGAATTGTCAATAAGGTGGAAAACATAAATTAAAAGGAAAATTTCTTTTGTATCTGAAAGTCAAGAGAAGGTATGAGAACCATTATGGTAGATATTACTACTCTCAAAAGTTCTCTTAGGGACCGCTATTCTCTTGAATAAATCACTCACGGGAGATAAGCAGCTACTTCATGAGCCCCTGTGATTTCCACCTTGTGTCCTATGTGTTAAGACTATGGGGCTCACCTTCTTTCCCACATTTCCCAGCTCCCTTGCAGTCACATAGTTAGTTCTGGCAATGAAAGGTATCAGAAGTGACAAGTGCAGGCATTTTAGTGACCTTTTCATTCTTTATCCCCTGGTAAACTAATATCCCTTATCCACTCTGGCAAGGAAAGGGGTAAAAGTGATCTGAGATGTATTACATTTTTTTTTTTTTAGCAAAGACAAAACATTTGTTAAGCCTGATTCTTTCTAATTCTTGAAGGCTGCTTTTTTGTTTGTTTGTTTGTTTTGTTTGAGCAGCATTTGAAAAAAGACAACAGCAGTCATTTTTTTGTAATTAGAATTTCTGTAACTCTTTAGGTGGTCCTATCTGAATATAAATGATACAGCAGAGATTTTTCTTTCTTTTTTTTCCACCAAAAACAGCAGTCATTTTTTTGTAATTAGAATTTCTGTAACTCTTTAGGTGGTCCTATCTGAATACAAATGATACAGCAGAGATTTTTCTTTCTTTTTTTTTTCCACCAAGAGAACTAAGTTTGAAAGAAACTGGCCACAGTCATATTGACAACCAAGACAAGAAAATAACTTCAGAAAGTATCCTGAGGGCAGTTGTTTGAGCAGATAGATGAATGTTTCCAAATTTTTGGAATAAATTAGTACTGATACTGATTTTATTATTCATTTTAGCTATAGTGTTTAGTTATAACAGAGCAGCTTCATGATTTTAAACCCTGGGTTCTAGAATCAGCGCACCTAGCTGTGATTGATGGCTCCAATACTTATTAGCTGTGTGACTTTGAGCAAGTCCCTTAACTTATCTAGGCCTCACTTTCCTCATCTGAAGAATGGGGGTAATAATAGCCTACTTCAAGGAATGTTTTTATGGATTAAGTGAGTGAATACATGTAAAGCGAGTTAATACTTGTAATGTACGTGCCTAGCATAGCGTCTACTTGCTTAAAGATCTGATCTATTGTTATTTAACATGATAGAGTCAACCAAGGTACATGGAATTGGGCTAATTTGGAAAAGTATTTTAAATTATATTATTTGGATATTCTTCTTCTGCCCTCAAATATAAAATACTCACAGGTTCTCCTTTTTGTCCTTTAGGGCCAATGGACCCTGGAAATCCTGGTAGTCCAGTTTCACCCTTTCAAGAAAAAGCAGAAGAGAGATTTTGCACGAGGTTAGATGAGCTATGTTGTGACTGTCAGATACAGAGTGATTGCTTTGGCCCCTTCTAAACATAGAATTTATCTATTACATACGGTCAGAGACAATGCGAAGTTCTGAACGGAGTTAGGTTATTTGCATAGAAATGTGTTTGTTAGCACTTTGCAATGCCCTTAGGTCTCATAGAAATCTGTTTTTCATTATGATATTTATAAAATTAACGTGAAATGAAAGTTATATTTGAAGAAAAAAGGTCTAGAGGAGAAAAAAATTATAATAATTTTATTCTGGTGTACCAAAAAATATGAATTTTTGTGATCTTGAACACATCAGATTGTTTAACTGACATAACAATCCAGACTCATCTTATTTCAGACAGTTTTTTCTTTTTTTAGGTGGGGGGAGTCACTAGTCATATGAAGAAAAATGAGTCTCAGCTGTTTCCAGCACTTATATTGCTGCTTCGATGATTGGCTGTGGACAAAGAAGGCATTCTTGTCCATGTGGTGACCACGACAGCTTAGAAATGTCTAAGATATTCTGGTTGAAAATCTTGAAGAGGAATTTGTATGTGTCATATAAAGAGTATTTTCAGAAAATACAATTGAGAGATCATACATGTAGAAAGGAGTTGTATCACTAATCAGACTTCAGAGGAGTCATAGTATTGTGCTTTTTTTCTTTTTTTAGCATTTACCAAGATCCCTGCATAACCACATAATTCTGACATTATATGTAGCCACTAGAAGATATGTAATGCTGATTTTTAAAAAATTTTTCCCAACCTTAAGAGCATTTTTGCAAAATGATGTTCACTATTACATTTCTGGGCATATATCTTTCTTGTCTATCTTGTCTATTTTTTTTTGCTTCAAAAAATATAGAAAACATAAAGTAGAATAAACCAGACCTTCATGTATCAGGCACCCAAAATGAAAGAAATAAAATTTATAATCAAAGAAGTCCCCTATATTTCTATTCCCATCTCAGAGGGAGCCACACTCATGAATTTAGTATTTATCTTTTCAGTCATAGTTTTGTACTTTTGCTGCATATGTGGAATTATAAGCTATATATTATTTTGAATATTGAAAACAAATTCCATAAATAGCTTCATTTTGTATACACACTCTGTGACTTTTTTTTCCACTCAGCATTGTTTTAAATATCCATCTGTATAGATACCTGTGATCTAGTTTATTCATTGTGACCTCTGGATAATGTTCTAATGTGTTGATGTACCAGGGCTTACCCCAGCCCCACTGATGGGCACTTGGGTTGTCTCTAGCTTTTCTTTGTTATAAACAAGGCTGCAGTGAACGTCTCTAATCCTGTACCCTCGTGTGGATGTACCTGCTTATTTTGAAGCCTTGAACAACAGTCTACCCAAAAGAACTTTAAGTACAAATTTACTATAGTCCTAAAATCTTTGGGTTATTTCTACATTTCTATCCTAATCCACATCTTGATTTTGTACACTGGATAGACAAGATTATGTTTTTATTAATCAGTCTTCTAGATTTGTAGAATATATTTTGTAAATGTAACCTTGATTTTATTAAATTTTTAAAACCTCAGTACTATTTTTTTATATTACTGAGATTTTAGCCAATAATACCAAAGCCCTGTTTGGGAGAGCTAAGGATAAGAAGACAATTTGCAGACTTGTTAGTATGCATATTCTAGATCAGTGTTTTCCAGAGTCCTGTCACCTGAATACCAACTGCGTAAGTTTTGCTATGTCCGTATACCACCTATATACTCATAGCTTTTTCCTCTAAATTCAGTCACATTCTAAATTTAAATACTTACTATTCTTCCATGAAATTTAGAGTTTAGTGTGCTGAATTTTTTTTCCTAATGCAGAGTAAGATACATAAGCATTTTTCTTCTAGCACTTAAATGTTTATCCGTTGTCTTCCGCTTACCACACTGCAAGAGAAGCCATTTTTTCCCCTAGAGATAGTAAATTATATCCAAAGTAATAAGAAGGAAAAGTTTTTTCCTAATGCAGAGTAAGATACATAAGCATTTTTCTTCTAGCACTTAAATGTTTATCCATTGTTTTCCGCTTACCACACTGCAAGAGAAGCCATTTTTTCCCCTAGAGATAGTAAATTATATCCAAAGTAATAAGAAGGAAAAATTGATGAATACATTTAAGGAATCAATTATTGTTGGTTTGAAAGAGGAAATAATTGGACCTAGTATAAGCATTAGGGTGACCTTCACCCTTGTATAAGCAGAGTGACCTTCACGTTAGCCATCCAGTAGGTGCTAAAATCTCCAGTGCATAAGTGTGAAAGAAAAATATGCCCAGTAATTAGACTCACCTATTAAAAGTAGAAAGCAGGGAAGGGGTCTATAAAATACTTTAAAAAAATCACATCTGCCGGCCGGCCCGGTGGCGCACTGCTACAGTGCACCACTTGGGAGCGCGGTGGCGCTCCCGCCG